GCACAGCCCTATTGTGATGTGTGCACTTCTTGTAACTATTTCCTTCCCTTTATTAAATATGGATCTTAAATTTCCAACCCAAACAGAGCTCAGTCTTCATACAATAAAGTTGCTCCACAGTGTACGAATTAATATGCATCTCTGCTAAATGTCTTCATTCATGTTGTGTCTCTTTACGTAACCTCCACTAAATCTATATTTGTTGCATTTGCAAGTACGAGGTGATGTAGAGATGGAATGGAATGGCGTGTGTGTGTGCTCAGTGCAGTGGGTGGACCCCTGAGGGGCAGCCCCTGAACTGCAAGAGGAAAAGGGGAGTAAAATGTAGTCTTTGTGATGTCTCTATCACTCTATCACAGTGCGGGAGCTCCCAACACTGCTCTTTGTGTGTGATGAACTGACCAACGACCACAGAACAACAGCAACTTATCAGGCCTTATAGTATGTGCGTGCACGCACACACACACACGCATTCATTGCACACTAAAAGGAAAAAAGAGAAACTTGAAAAAATTGGAAAGCTGCGTGTGTATGCTTGATGAGGTTATTCTTTGGACTATGCACCATGGTTCAGTACTCTTGACATCAAAAGGCCAAGAGAACAGAAGAAGAGAGGGGAAGGAAAGAGGAAGAGAGCAAGGCTTTTGTGTCTCTAGTCCTAAGAGCTCATTCTCTAATGAGGCCCAGTCAGCAACACAAGGAAGCTGCTGTGTGTTTGTGTGTGTGTGTGTGTGTGTGTGTGTGTACGCACATGTTACCAAACCTCTCTAATATTTAAAAAAAATAAATAAACAAAAAAATCCAAGACCAAAACATACTCTCACAAATCTTTGAGACCTCATCTCTCAGCGCGATCTTACAAGTGTTTAGTACAAGTGTTGTGTTGGACGGCCTTGAAATGTGATTGAAAAGCAGCTTTTGAATATGAAAGCAGCCAGGTAGTGTTAAATAAAAGCGACTTAAACTGCTGGAGATCCAAAGAAGTAGAGCTTGAAAAGGTGTGTAAGTCAAGTAAAACTGTGTGCATGTTTGAAATTCAGGAGTTTAAAGTGTGATTTGCAATTGTGAGACAAATTGCAAAGGAATGCTCACAATAAGCTGCAGTTTTTTTTCTTGCTCACCTGACACCATCCACTGGTTTCGAGAGTTTGAATTTTTCATCCTTAGGCCATTGAGATGTTTATGTTCTTTTTATCAAGTCAGGGATGATTATATTTAGATGAGCGGACTGAGTGATAACATTTCTGAAAACACTGCCATGCATCCATAAGCTGCATGAGTGCAAACTTTCTAGATACTCTGTACCTCACATCAAGTCATAATACACTATATGGACAAAGATACTGGCCACTAACAGGTCATGAAACACGGCGTGTTTACGATGCACCTCTGCATAATGGCTTAATGGCTCACTTTGGCTGTAGTCGGCGCCTAATGTAAAGAATAAAGTAGCATGCCTGACAGGACAAGTAGAACAAGAAGAACCATTCTGTGCTGGGAAATAACTGAGTATCCAGTTCCTTTGAGGTTGAATCCCCACCAGCACCTTTAACTGTTTACGCTGACAGACACATGGCATTGCACAGGTTCCTATTAATGACACATTTTCTCTTCACAATGTCAAACATCATCACGTTGCTATATGGACCACATGGAACGGCTTCTCGTTATCTTTCAGGAGATAATTAGTGCTCGGAACAAAAGAGGGCAAGTAAAAATCATGTGTGTCTCCCATGTAACCTTTGTGGAACATCATAAAGGTGCGTTTGCTTACTTGTATCTATTTACAACATAGTTGACTAAACATTGTTATCTCACTGAAGCTTTACTTATTTTCTTCAAAAAACTACTCTGGCAGCGCTGCCAAACTGGCTGATATTGTATCTCGCATCACACCAGAATTCCCTACGTTTTCAGCTTGAGTGTGTCCGATCAGATTACCTCTGCACTATACACCACTGTGCACTTACGCCAACTAATTGTGGAGCTCCTTTCCCCACTTGCACGCAGGAGTCAGAGACCAAACTACATCCAACAATGTAAAACGAGAGGTAACAGTGAGGGAGGGGGCTTTATAATACTGCGTTGTACATCAAAATGTTGAAATTTGTGCTTTATCAAATGATCTGATCACGATCAAGCAATCGGAGCTTTGATTAAAAAGTTTTTGTTAAATAGTAGGGTAAGGATTTTTTAAAGATTTTTTTTTTTTGCTTCGTTTTAAAATCGTTTGCTTGTCTCTTTGATTCGTTGTGACCGGTTGCCTTATTCCCTTACCTTTACAACCACCCACCTGGCATTTTTCTGTCCCCCCCCCCAACCCGCCATACATCCTGGAAATCATAAAAAGCCTAGAATAAAGCCGACTGTGTTCGAAAGTGTCTAAAGCCCGTGAATGTGCTTATCACACCGCAATCAAACCTGTCGGCTGGTTGAGGTCCGATCAGTGTCATGCACGTCTGCAAGCAGCAAAGGTTACCTGCAAACAGCATGCTAATTATGCAAACGTGGCGGCTATACGATGGGATTTGAACAGGCTCTTTGTACTTCCCTCTTGGGGGGGTGGGGGCTGGTCAGAGGTAACAGAAGAGTAGAAAAGACAGGCGTTACCGGTGAGGGAGAAACACTCACTATGACCTGTGTCAGCAGATCTCTTCCAGTTCTTCCAGTGAGGGAGCGCTGTTGGATCTCCTCGCTTCCACTCTGCACTACCAGGTCAGTACAGACAGCTACAGAGGGTAGATGGATAGGTGAGAGTCCAAGGTGTGCTTGTGTAAGTGTTTTCTGAACATCTTTTAATTCAGTCTTGCTTTTCCTTTAAATAGACACAGATCAAAGTAGGAGATGCATGTTTCTTTAAAAAAAAAAAATGAATATGTGTGTTTTTAATGCTCCGTGTTACTAATGAAGCACAACCACTGACTGAACTGGTGATGTGGTTTGCTTGAGTAATGTTTTGCTTGACGCTCTTGCCGTGATAAGGCCGAGCCAGGCCCTGTGGACACACTGGCTCTATAGCTGGTGCGGAACGCTAAATTGTTTTATCATCCCTAATCAAATAGTGCTAGCTGCAAAACATATCCACAAACACTTGTTTATACATTGGTTCGCACTTGTCTTAACATGACTGCACTGCAGGTTGGAAACTTATGGTGTGAGTTCGGTCATGGGACACCGCTGACAATTGAACAACAAGTGAGAAAATTTCCTGAATGCGATTGTTTTTCAGAGATGAAACTCGTGCAGATCAGGGTGTGAGTTATTTTACCTTTTTCTTTGTTTGTTGCATTTTTGTTTTTGTTTTTGACCTGATAGATTCTTGTGCCTGAGCCAAGTATAAGTAAGTGATTTTGTGTTTTTGTTTTTTGCATTTGGCAGAAGGAATCTTATGCCATTACAGCTGTCAGTCTCACTACTGACAAAGAGAATGTCTTTATTTGTTTATCACCAAGTAGGCTGCTTTAGATGTCTAACATTTTATCCTGCTGCTCGCTACTGCTGAGAATGGCTCCTGGCACTCTCTCTTACGTCTATTGTGCATTCTGTGCTATTCTGCCTCAGGCAGCAGTTAGAAAGCGACAAGAACGATATAAACCCAGCAGCCTGCTCTTGTTGGGAGGGGTAAGGTGAAAAGAAAAACAAGCGGTGAGAAAAGAATAAAGAAACAAAGGAAGAAAAGAAAAGAAAGGGAGAACAACAGAAGGGATTTGCATTGCCAAGCCTCCTGGGGGGAAATGTTGGGTTTTACATGTTACAACTTGTTGGGTAACTGAAGGTTTTGTGTGAAGTGATTCTTGTGTCATGGGAAGTATAACGTTTCAGTGTTTTGAGTGCTCAAAGGAAAGGAGGCCATTTTTGTCAGAGGACAGAGGTATGCTCTCTCCCTGTCATTCTCCAGCCCCTCCCTGTCTGCTGTGGCGGGAGCGCTAAGCTCGCAGCGGGTAGTCCTGGAACAGCGCAGCCATGACTGTGGTTGGATAGCGAGGCCACTGTGGTCTGCTTTTAGAGGATCAACTCCCCGAGTCCTTCCTGTCAGAGACTAATTACGTGTTTTGTCGAATGTGATCGTATTTTAATGACGCTAGAGCTAGGAATTATTAGTTAATAACAAAGCTAGCCAGAGCTAGTGGTAGTTATCGGCTAACGCTAGGTCTGGCTAGCTTTATTCTAGTTTGTTTAGCTAGGTGGAATCATACGTCACTTTAATTTTGGCTAGCAAAAACTGCAGTTGCTTGTTTTCTAAGCAGTTAGGTTAAGTTAATAACTTGCAGATATAGAAATAAAATACTTTCTTTAATATAATTATTTAATATTTTTGTCCACAAAGAAGAGCTATCAACATGTAAAATTGCTTAGCTAGCATGTTACCAAGAGATGCAACTTGCCACAAGGCAAAATATGCAACTTCTCGGGTCTCCAGTCAATTTATGGTTCAGCAAGAGGAGCTTGCTCATAGTGTGTAGGTAGTTAGGGATGGTCGGTCTGGCCGTCACTGAACAAAGTATGTCGTTCAGCAGTCCGTGGGCTATTCTTGCTTGTGTCACTGTTGGTCTGTCAAACTGCTGAAGCGAAAAGTGACGTTCTAACATACAAAGAGCTGAAGTGGAACAAAGAATTAAACTATGCAAAGTGTCCACTGCAGCCACTGTCTGTGCTTTTCATGATGTACTTTTGATCTTTAACGTTTTTTCACGCTTCTTCCTTGTCAACCAATCAGCATTTGGCAGACGCTTAAATCACGTTCGGAGCACTGCATGGGGGGACCCTGAGGGCCAAGAACCCAAGAACTCTAGACGTACAGCAGTGGCATTGTGCAGTGTTCCTCCTTTTTAATGATCTGCCAGGCCTTTACTGCAGCAGCTTTCAGTTGCTGTTTGTTTGTGGGCCTAACCCACAAACCCTAAAGTTTAGTCATCAACAAGTGCATGCTCATTTGGGTTAAGATCAGGTGACTGACTTGGCCATTCAAGAATATTTGACTTCTTTGCTTTAATAAACTCCTGGGTTTCTTTGGCTGTATGTTCTGGGTATGTATGTATACCCAGTATGTCTCTGAACTCCTCAGAATTTGTTCGGCTGCTTCTGTTCTGTGCTACATCATCAATAAACACTAGCGTCCCGGTGCTACTGGCAGCCATGCACACCCAAACCATTGGGCTTTGGACCATGAGCTGTTCCACGCCTTCTCCATACTTTTTTCTTGGCATCATTCTGGTAGAGGTTAACCTTGGTTCCATCTATCCAAAGGATGTTTTTCCAGAATTGTGTTTTTGTGGTGCTGACTTCCTCGGTGCTTTCTGTCTTTCTCAGAATGTAACAAACGCTGTATCAATTTCTCAGAAGGGTTTTTTCTGTTTTCTCAGCTTAAGGATGGCTTGTTTCACCTGCATGCAGAGGTCCTTTGACCGCATGTTGTCTGTTCACAGCAAAATCTTCTAACTCAAGCACCACACCTCAAATCAACTCCAGGCCTTTTACTGCTTAATTGATAATGACACAACAAAGGAACTGCCCATACCTGCCTATGAAATAGCCCTAATAGTGCAATTACTTTTGGTCCCTTTAAAAAAAGGGTGGCACATTAAGAAGCTGAAACTCCTAAAACCTTCTTCCCATTCGAATGTGGGTACCCTCAAATGAAAGCTGAAAGTCTACACATCATCATGTCTATGTCTGTTATATAACTATAAATGGAATATTCTTCAGTAAACATGTGAAAAAAAACAACTCTTGGCTGCTCTGACGTCTGTTTCATTGTGATTTCTTAGCAGCATGTGGTGAGCGCCTATAAAAGCTGAATAACACCGTAGGTGGTTGAAAAACAGGCCTCAATCAGATAACCTTAGAAGAAGCCAGTGCTATTTAAGTCGTGCAACACACCGCATATATACATGTATGCACAAGGTCAGGTTCCACGTAGGTGCAGTCAGTGCAGATAGGCTAAGTGTGTGTTTAACTAGAGAGAGATGTGAAGGCAAGCGATAACCTGATAACCTTGACTGGTTTGCATTGTTCACCCTGAGGCACAAAATGCATTGTTTTTGAAGTACCTTTGTGCTTGTAAAAATGCATGCACCTGGACGCACATTCCTCGCTGACAACAACAGTGCGGGCTTCTGAGATTCTGTGCATACCTCTGCACTTGGTGACACACACACACAGAGTATGTGCAGAGGCGTGTGAAAGCCACCTGTGGCAGCTCTGCGGTCCAGCCCCTATGGAACGTGAAGGGAAGACCCAGGAATAACTTGCTGTGTGGGACTCAGCTCGGTATGTTGCCACTGCCGCCTGCGCACAACCCTCCAACCCCCTCTCTTCCGGCAATCAACCCCTCGCCGACACATGGACAGTAACTGCTGCGGTGTTCGCTTATAACAGTTTCCCACCTCCATCCCTCCACAATCGTTTCTTCCCAACACCCTACAAAACTACCCCCCACAGCTGAAAGCAGACGTCAGACAGGATTAGGCTGATGAACAGTGTTGTGGGTTTGAAGCTGATGGTAACTTTTCCCAAATATGACAGATAACAAATGTAATCAGGCAGTAAAATTTGAAGCAAAATCACAGTTGTCGTTTTTTTAATATGAAAGATATACAAATGAGTGTGATATCATCTTTAAACCAAGAGTAATCAAACAGGTGGCATCAAATGAGTTCAATTGCCGGTGATCCCTCTGCTTGCAGGTGTGTTTATTGTGCTTTTTAGTTACCGTCAGCTGTGTAAATTAGATTTTCTCTTATCGCTTTGTGATTTGAAAACACAGCGAGTCATAAATGCACACACATTCACACAGGTTTAGAGCCTAGCCAGGCAGGTGGGTTTGTGTTAAAATGCACCAACAACATTACTGTGTGTTTCCTAGAGTGCTGGAAATGTGTTTTTCATGTTGCTTGGCGATGGCAGAGGGGCCGGTCAGGAGCTGAGCAGGTGTTCCCAGAGGGCCGCGTAACTGTTGAGCTGGTGTTCTCATAAACAAAATATGTTCATTAAACTCATCAGGTAAGTAAGGGACGTGTCTCACTTTACAGGGTTGACACTGCAGCCTTTGTAGACCTGCAAAGGGAAATCGCCCTCTTCAAATTGGTCCAAGTTGTCATTATCCTTTCTCAAGACGTCATAGGAATCCACGTCATCTGCTGAGATAATTACAAGTGTGGCATTTATTATCGACGAACTGAATTTATAGTTCAAGACAAATATAAATATTTAAAGATTTTTTAATCTAGTTGTCAGGATTTCCTAAAAAAACAAGCTGTTGTCATAGTAGTGTTTAGTTCAAGTGTTTAGCTGTTTATTCTGCCAAATTCCTTGAAGATTAAATGAAACATTATTCCAGTAGACAAAGTATCTCAATAGTTTTCTGTGGTTATGCTTGCACCACATAATAACCTTAGATTTGCTTGATGTTGCTTGCTGGACTTGCACCAACTGCAGAGCAACTGCACCCATTGAGTTTTTCACCTGAATTATGCTCCGCTGCAGACATGTACAGCTGACGGCCAATTATTCATTCCTGTTATAGTTCTTTGAAGTCTGCCACCTGGAGCGTAGCGTAGTTGGTGCATTGCGATGTAAATTATCTGCAGACAAGTCCTTGTGGTCTCAGGAAACAAACAGACTTCACGGACGTTCCTGCAAAATGCTTGCACTCTCTATCCATTACTTGGAGCTTAAATCAGACTGTAAACAACTCTTCTTTGACCACATGGCAGCTGAGTTCGGTGCACAACGTTTCTACCTGTGTTTTGCAGCTTTTAACACACACACAGACACACAAACGCATGCATATACATCACTGAGGTTTGGAGTCTTGGACCCTGGCAGACAGGTGGCTTTGTTTGGAAACACAGTGTGCAAGCTAAGGGGAGGGGGGGGGCACTAATCATTATTATGCTTTCCGCAGAACGGTGGCGCTTTTTTTTTTTTTTGCCATGTTCCTGAGTTGGTCGGCACATTCCGCTGGCATTGTTATCCGGCCTGTTTCCTGCGGCCGGCGGCTTTTGTCAGCCTCTCCCCCATTGTCTCGGCTTCCTTTGTTCCCCGGCTCCAACAATGGCTTTTTTTCTGCCTCTTTATATATATGTGCACTTTTTGCCCTTGTGTGTTCTGTTTGTTTTGTTCTGCTGTCTGCTGTGTTTTTCTTTCCTCCTGCTGTAGAGCTGGGAAATAACACACGTATGCACACAACCCTGAGTTGATTTGTTCAAGTTCACTCTGGTTCAAACCTCTCTCACTCAACCTGTCCCCTCTTCAGTTTTCTGCTTTTCTTCCTCACTGAGGCGTTGTCTGTCTCCCTCCCCTATAACCTCTCATTATTCACTGTCACAAACTGAGGGAGACACACACACACACTTTAACACAACCACCACCTAACCTATAAAACTGAATTCAGGAGTCACCTTTTTTTTCTTAAATTTACCACCTCAAAATTAGGGTTTCCTTTAAGAGGCAGAAATGTCACAAATTAATTTAGCTATTTGTAACAATTATTAAGTTATAAGCAGGATATAAGCAAATTGTATCTAATTATGGAAAACCAATAAGAATTTTTATTTTTTTTTTATTTTTACAAAAGTCCTTTTTTAAATTTTAGATATGCTAAAACTTGCAAGAGTAATAAAAAAGTACATATTTCAATTGCTTAGAGTCAGGGTTTGGGGTTAGGGATATCACTAATGATGACTTAAACTTTAGTAGTACCTCACATTATCCCTCCAATGTGTAAGGCTGTCCTGATACTGTTTTTGGGCTTGGAAGATGTGCCCGATGAGCATTGGGAGAGACGGGGTGCTGACGGAGGTCAGGCAGAATAGCTGACATTGTAAATGTCACAAAACAAACAAACGAACAAACGAACAAAAAAGAATATCCGAAACCCTAAATGGAAACCAAATGGTTTGGCTATCTGAGAGGTAGAATATTTGTGCGCATGCCTGTAAAAGTAACAGCAATCAACATAATGGGGGAACAGCTAAACTGAATTATTTTTGGAGTAAAAGATCGCATAAGTGTTAGTATTCATTATAAATGCTCATAGTACTCATTATTTATTATTCACAGCTTACACCTCTTTGCTTTAATCATGCTCTACAGCAGTATTTGATTACAAACTTCTGTTTAAGATTTGACCATATTGTTTATTTTCCCGTTCATAAAGCTTCATAGTTGTAAGAGTCTCTAGCCCAGTTGCCGACACACCTCTAAGGATTCCTTTTTCGTCCTTAGCTTTAGTCCAAATAAAATATCTGAACAGCAATTGGACGAAATTTTCCACCAACAAATTTTCTATTATTTTTTCTTCTTTGCTGTCAATACGTTTACTCCCAAATCTAGAACTGGGAGATGATTACCCAGTGCCCAAACCTCACCACACCCAAATGACAGCTAGCATTGTGTATTTTTTTTTTGTCTTCCAACAGAATGGTTGAGCCCAGCCCTCCAGCACTTCACATTCACTCCAGTGGGGATGTCAACATGGCAGGCGTTGGTGTCAAAGTAGAACGTGAAGACTCTGGGGGAGGGGCTGCAGTGGATACCAGCGGCGAACTTCGTAAGACGTCTCCTTCGCGTGATTGGTCAGGAACTCAGCAACTCGAGGCTCGCCAGTTGACCCCACCACTGTCTCGCTCCCCTTCAGTAAGGATTACGAAAGGCGTGACAGGGAATTTTAGGAAGTCAAGAATGTGTCATAGATTGGTATATCAAAATATAAAGTATATTTGCATGATCTTGGTGAGATTTTAATTGAGGTTCTCTTTTCTGTCCTGACAGGAGGGATCTCCAGGGAAGGACCTGCCTCACAGACAGAGCCCCATGGGACTGAAGGAACCTAGGATGCATGATCGATCAGAGGGACAATCCAACTTGAAAGAAGGTCTGTCAAAAGCAACCGCCATTTCAAAACTTTATTTACAACCACAGAAGTGCAAACGGAGAGTCAGTTCTGTCTGCCATGGCGTTGACGTTCATTAGCCTATTGAATTAATACATATTAATAATATGTAATTATAGGATTCATGGCTAGTTTTATTATTTCTTGATTGTTTGATTGCGTGCTGTTTTTAACTCAAGAGAAAGTTTTATTTGTATCATACTCTTGTTTATAATTTACTTGGTGACTGACTGTACCATTATGGGTTGATGTCTTGTGCTGGTTTTATCTGTAGACCCCAGGGAGAGTCGTTGTTGCTGTAGCAACAGCTCACAGGGATCGGAATAAAGAACAAAGTCAACCTCCCAAGAAGGAAAGAAACTGTCCTGCTATTAGGAGCAATTTGGGGTTGAATGTCCAGTATTTACCAGGAGCATTTCATTTAACAGGGTGGCCCTAATGTTAGTCATTGAAACTTGCTAAGTTAATTTAGCAAATTACTTGGCATTAATTTTACTTACAAAGGTTCTGCAAAGAATATTTTCCCAGTTTTATAAGAGACAGCACAAATACTCGCAGACAGCCAGATACCGACAATTAGATGATATCATCGTCACGCCTGCATGCAAGCATGAGGCCTGAACTTGTAAGGTAGAAGCTTAGCAAAACAAAAGTTAGTCACTGTAACAGTTAAAGTATGTCATTTTTGACTCGTGTTTTATGCAAATATTGAATGTGTGTTTTGCTTGTATAATGCCAGTTTACAGCAACGGTCGTACAGTTAGTAGCCAAACCAGGATTAGACAACTGTGGGAAGGAAGAACTCAATTTTAACAGGAAGAAACTTATTTCAAGCATATATTATTTTTAATTATTATTATTAATATAAAACCAGGCTCAGGAAGGCATAAATACTTAAGTTCATTAAAATTGTAAGTTGTGTATCTTGAGAGTAACGTTTTAGAGCCAAGCTGTTTGGATGTTAGCATGTAGTCGGATTGGCACTTAAAGGTTTTGCCTCAGTATTTACTGGATTTCAGACAGTATCAATTCAGCCCTCAGCCTTTCTGCACCTCAGTGTTATTACCTTGTGTGGGAGTCTTTCTCTCTTACTCGCACACACGTCCATATAATTTTCCCATCTCAGACTTTGATGACTCCATATCTTACGTGTTTGAGAGCGCTACATTCTGCTGCTATTCAGCATTAAACAATGCAGTCTGCCTAAAATCGATGTGTGGAAGTGATGGTTTGTCTCACAAAGCGAGGGTGTTGTTTGGATTCCTGAACGAGTTCAGGGGCATTTTTTTTTTTTGTATGTGTGATTGTGTTCAATTTCTTTGGTAGGGAGTGAAAAGCTTCTCTCTGAGCCGCGTGCAACACTCTCGTTGCCCTCTAGTCTTTAACCAGCCTGCACTCCTTGCCTTAAATCTTTCTCAAATTTGCTCCAGTCACTGACCTTGAATTGTTCTCTGTCCAAATATTGATCCACTCAAACACTCAAAACTTCTCCCTGATGCACAAACAACCTCTGCCCTTCGACACCTCAAACGTCTTCTTCAATCAATGCCATTAGAAAAGCAGAAGAGAGGCTCAGAAAGTAGTTTAGTGTTAGATGTATTTTATTTGACAGAATATATTTTTCACGCCATCTACTGCTGCCCACTGCGGTCCCGCTGAGTACCATTTGTGTCCTCTTAACAGTGATGCCTACCATTGAGAAGCTGCTGAATGCTGACTGGAAGGACAAACTCCTGGATAAAAGCACAGTGGGGTCAGGACAGCTGAAAGGTTAGTTTCAAACACTACAAACACCATCATGTTGTACATATACAATTAGACCGTATGAATTACAGCTTTTCTATTCTATTTCTCATTTGTTTTATCAATTTAAAAGCAGCATATATAACAGCGGCATGTGGCACACCATTGGTTTGACATTTAGATGGCAGATATGTAGATATTTCTTCTTCTACTTCTTTTTAAAGGTAGAACATAACCAGTCTGTGTGAAGGCTTAATTAACCCTAAATTTTCACCCATGGAAAAGTGAATAGAATAGAATAGAATAATCCTTTAATTGTCCCACAAGGGGAAATTTGGTTGTAACAGCAGCCAAAAAGACAAATATACAAACAAACAGGACACGGAACAGAAACATACACAATTTTACTTACATATTTACATTAAGGACAAAGTGTAGTGATGGCGTTACAAAACTCGTGTGCGTGTTCTGGGGTTAACAATGTAATATTTATCATATGTGCAGTGATAACACACACCAGTGAAATCCAGTCCTGGCTGTCACTGTGCCCGTCTCACTGATATAACCACACTGTTATCTCAATCATTTCACTGAATTATCTGATCCCTTTTTTTAGTATTTGTTTGCACATGAATGTAATGATTATCATAAACCCACATTTTCCACACGTGTTTACCGCTTGGTAGAACTGGAGAGAGAGAGATAGCAGACTCTAGCTGCTCGGTAGTCCTGGGTCTTCTTTTCAGTGTTTTTTTTGTTTCATGATGGGCCAGATGTTTTCGTATAGTGGAAGGAGTTCATGGCAGGCACACCACTTCAGTGTCTGCTATGAGGAGTCTTACTGAAACGTACGTGGCCTTCCCTGGAAAAGACGTCATCTGGATGGGATACATTGTTCTAAAACCTGTATGTACCTCGAGGCATTAGTTGTGCCTCTCCAGATGTGCAAACTGATAAATTCACCTCTGTGCCATCAGGGATGCAGGGATGCTTGCTCATAACAAGCTGGATGGTCCTTCTCATTTTTAGACCAGAGGAAGTGGCATTTGTGATTTTCAAAATTTCGATTTGTCTGATCTAACAACAGTTTTGCGCTTTGCTTCAGTCCAGCTTCAGAAGGCCCGAAGACAGACAAGCATTCAGAGGTGGCCTCCTGTCTTGTCTCTTGTACACAGAGAATCCTCCAGAATCGCTGAATCGTTTAATGATATTATGTATATTTATAATCTTTCTGACTTTGCATTCAGAAACATTATTCTGAAATCTGTAGCTGCAGTTTTTTGCAGATTTGTTATCCTCTGATGTACTTCTTGGAATCTCTGAGATGCTCTTTGTATAACCAGTCATGTTACTGACCTCCTGCCAGTTAACCTAACTGGAAAGTGCTTCTCCAGCTTTGGTGCTCCCATCCCAACTTTTTTGAGATGGTATTTGAGATGTGAGATATTTTGAAGTTTTACAATTTCTCAGTTCAGACATTTAATGTGTCTCTACAGTGAATAAAAGACGAGTTTATGAGATTTACATTTTACACATTTTTGGAATTGGCTTTGTAGTTTTGGCAGCGATGAAAGATTCATTTTCATAGTGAGGACGCGTCTGTCCTGCAAACATTATCTACAGTTTCTGATCTAAGCAGCTTGTTTCAGCAAAATGGGGAAAAAAGATGCTTATCAGTTTCAACCCTTTCAACATCCTTTTCTAGCAGTTATGAGATTACAAGATAGCAATTGATTTTGAAATATAGGAAACATAAAGCAACATGTTACGAAGAAGCTTCAGGTTTTTTTTTCTTTGAGATGTTGGTTTTTCTGAATGTGTGAAATTTGACCCACGGAGGGTGTGAGGAGAGAAAAGACAAGATATTACATGAAATGATCCTGTGAAAGTTAGAAAGGTTTTTGTGAGATTGAGAAGTTTGTTATTATAACAAGATGTTTTAAAAAGAGGGAAAGTTTAACATTAAAAACTTTGCTGAAAATATTGTTTTGTGGAGGAAAAAAGCACTTTTTTAGGTAATTACAAGAAATTGTTCTTTTTTGTATTTGGTGAAATTTTATTTAATAAAAGTTTCATCTACAAACAAGAGCAAAAATATCTTTTTGTAAAAAAAATATGTTTTTGTAAAACCGAAAAATATTATTCACCATAAAAATATGATTTATTTTTTTTATAAAGAGAAGAAAAGCTTCATGTTTTGAGAACTTTTGTGGGAAAAATGGGAAAACACGAGAGGTTCTATAACAAAACTGTAAGAACAAGAAGAGAATAGTATTTTTTATCCCTGTGGTATAATAATGGTGATAGTTGGAGACATTACTAAAGCAAAAACAGAATAAAAAGGAATAAAAAAAAAAAACACGCCTTATCCTGCATAAAAACACAAAGCCTCCCACTCCTCCCACCAGGTACCCACGAATCTCTGGCAGAGAAGGAGCTCCAGCTGTTGATGATGATCAACCAGCTGAGTGGTCTGAGGGAGCAGCTCCTGGGAGCCCACTCTGAGCAGAGAAACATGGCCGCCCTGTTGCTGGAGAAACAGCAGCAGCAGATGGAGCTGGCTCGGCAACAGCAAGAACAGGTATCTCTACCAGATCTTTGCATCAGTCGCCCAGTTCAACAGAACATGCAAACATGTGGACATCTCAAAACAAATTTCTGTCTGTCTGCTGTGTATTATCTTGATAAAGAATATAAAGGGCCTTTCTGACCAAACAGACGAAAAGCCCCTGTGTACACTGGTGCTTGTGTTCTTGCTCCATACAAACACTAGGCAAATTAGATGGCCGAAATTAAAAAAAGATCTTTGTTTAATGCGCCTTTTTTCACACAAGTCCACAGAAGGAGAACACCGCGCGCACTCGCTGGCTTTTTTCTGGGAATAAATGAACCGCCGCATGCGTGCATCGTGGCTGATCGTTAGAATTTATACAGGCCAGCGCTCACTTGTTGTGTGTCTCGTTTTTCTGTGTCTCAGATCGCCAAGCAGCAGCAGCAGCTCATCCAGCAGCAGCACAAGATCAACCTGCTTCAGCAGCAGATCCAGGTCAGCTCCTCTCACGACCTTTCGCACATCTTCCTGAATTCAATTCAATTCA